CAGAAATAGCCGAAATATTCTCAAAAAAATTACAACGTCTGCAATATTAACGGGTGAGCATTGCCATTGCAGGCAATGTTCACCCAAAATACCCAAAAGGTTAAGAAGACTTTGGTTCTACGCCCAATAAATTCACAGGAAATTCTGACTGTAGTAAAACGCATGGAAAATAAAAATCTAGTGGTTATGACGACATTCCAATAAAAATACTAAAGGATAATATTGATTTGTTAAGTGAAATTTTGGCATATTTCTATAATGAATGCATTAGCCAAGGAATATTTCCTGACGAGATTAAGATAGCAACAATAGTACCTATTCATAAAAATAACACAAAAATAGACCCGAATAATTATAGAACTATTGCCATACTTCCAGTATTATCGAAGATTATGAAAAGTTGATAAAAGTACGCTTAATGACGCACTTAAATCTTAATAAGGTTTTGAATGAATTACAGTTTGGCTACCAAAATGGTATAGGACTCTTGACGTAGTAGACACTATACACTACTATAGTGAATAATATATTAACAGAATTAAAAAAAGTTGCAGGCCTATTCTTAGACTTAAATTTTGCTTTTGATACCGTAGATCACAGTATATTAATAAAAAAACTAGAATACTATGGAATTAGGGACCAATCACTAAAACTTATTAAGTCTTATTTGTAGAAATTGTGGACACAAACGAAGTAGGAGTGCAAAACAAACATAGATCTGTAGTAACCACAGTAACAAGAGGTGTACCTCAAGGCTCTTTACTGGGACTGATATTCTTCAGAATATTTTTGAACGATTTAATAGATTACATCTACAATCTCATTCCTGAGATTCAAGTCATTATTTTTGCAGATGATACGAGCGCAGTGCTATCATCAAAAACGGCAGAAGAATTAAAGGACAAGATTATTGTAACTATGACAACATTCCAAAACTGGTTCACAGCAAATGGCTTATTACAAAATATAACTAAAACAAATATCATGTTCAAAGCCATCGCTAGAAATAATGACATAACAGAAGTGTATGTAAATGAGGAAATAATAAATACTGTAAGTTCTGTGAAGTTTTTGGGATCTCCTAAATTGAAAAGTTGAGCTGGCAGCCATAGCAGACATAATAAGTTGAGCAAGCTTTTTCTTATAGAATAAAGGTGACAAGCGAGCACGCATTCCACCTGATGGTAAGTGGTTTCTGTGACTCATAGACATCTATATCTATTCTCAATTACGAATCAAGATGCAGATGCGTTGTCACCCGTGAGGACTAAGATTGAATGCCTCGTTTGCAGTAAAAAGGGTCTCCGGTTCTCTACACTCACCATAAGAGACAGCATTAAGCTACTATTTTACGCTAGTATTGTGTGAGAGCGTGGTCCTTCCCCGGTCGAGCCGACCTATTCGTGCTACAACTATACAACTATAGAAAGATAGCTGCACCATGGCTCTACCACGTACAAGTAGCTATGCCTTGCGCACCTTGCGTGAAGAATTCACCGTTGATTAAATTTTAAGCGTGTACTAGGCGCTTGTTGAGTCGAAGCTAAGATATAGCATAAAATTCTGGGGCAATAGCGGTAAATATAATATGAAAAAAGCATTCACTGCCCAGAAAAGAGCTATAAGAGCAATAGTATGCATTCCGCCTTGGGAATTATGTAAATAATATTTCAAAAAGCTAAATGTTCTTACAGCACCTAGCCTATATATTTTGATACTTCTGACCGACGTTTTTAAAATCAGACATTTTTATGGAAGTGATGAAGAAATGAAAGAGAGAGAGAGAGAGAGCACCAGAAGGATGGACTTGACTTTGCCTATTATGCCCAAACTGGAGATTGTAAAACACTATCCTCGTTATCAAGCAGTTTTACTTTTTAACAAGATGCCTAAAACACTAAAACAAATAAAAAAGTTAAAAACTTATAGAGGAATGTATTTATAATAATGATGAAGAAAATATAAGAAGTAGTCAGTCTATTTATTTAAATAATAAGTTTAATAGTTAATTTATATTTATTTTATTTTATATTGGAACTTTATTTTATTTTTTAATTATGGAGTAAGTTGACATTTTTTTAATTGGTTTTTCATTAGCATATAATGTAAATAATATATTTTTGAACATTAACATATAGGTATATTGTTAAGTAGGTAGAATAATTAGGTAGGTACATACATAAGAATGGTACAATGAGATTTATTATTTAATTTATTTAACTTTTTTTGTTTGATTATCTAATTTATTAATTTTGTTTAACTAAATAAGTCTTAACAATATAATAAGGACATTGCTGTAATATTCGTACCAATTTATTGTTAATGAATAAAGAGATTGATTGACGTGATCGACCATATCCTGAAACTACGTTGTGATAAGTACCACGTTGTTTTCCAAATTACTTATTTATCGATAAGCAAATTATATCGTACACATTTCATAAATGAAGTTATCCGAATATACATCCATAGAATATCCCTTCATTGTTCAATGCCTCAATTGTCTATTGTGCTGTATAGTATAGCCTTTATTTGAATATCAATTCATGATATGTTCTTTTTTATTCATAGAATTCACTTCTCTGATACAGAATTGCGGTACAATTTACATTTGTTTTAAATAGTCATTCTAAAAATATTTCATTTTTAAGTGAATTACAATTACGTACAAATATAATCTTTAAGATAGTGATTAAATACAGATTCAAGCATCTTGAAAAATTTAAGCAAGGCGTGCCCGATTAAATTCACTACGCCGAACGGAAGCTGATTACGAGATAAAAAAAATTTGCGCGATTTGTTAAAATAAACTATTTCATCATCATCATCATTACAGCCCCTCACAAGTCCACTTCTGAACAAAAGACTCCTCCAAGGAATTTTTTATAGTAAAGGGTGACATACAAGTGTAATGTAGGGTAAGCTTATTGTTAGCATAAGGAAGGTAGTTTGTGACCTCTCTCTCTCGTAATAAATGGTTGAACTGTACGGACGTGTTTTCCTTTGTCTCACTGGCGACGAGGATTTTAATGGTGAAAATCGGCGAAAAATACGTGAAAATAGAAAATACGGAAAATTTAGACTGCGAACAATCAGCGTGCAAAAATGTCGGTCGGAAAGTTTAGTGAGTTTGACGTGAAAACCGGTAACTGGACTGCTTACGTGGAGCGGCTAGAAATGTATTTTGTGGCAAATTCAGTGAAGGACGAAATTAAATTGCCTACCTTGATCGCGGCTATGGGTGAAAGTGCGTATGAACTGTTATCCACCCTCGCGAGTCCTAAGAAACCCGCGGAACTTACGTATTTGGATGCAGTTGTACTATTACGTAATCATTTGCAACCGAAACCATCTCCGATGGCGGAACGTTATCGTTTTAGGCAAAGAAGACAAACAGACAGTGAATCGATCAGTGAGTACGTGGCGGCATTAAAGAAACTATCTAGACATTGTGAATTCGGTGCAGTCCTACAGGACAATTTACGGGATCAGTTAGTGTGCGGACTTCGAAGTGACGTCATACGGCAGAGATTATTCGCGGAAGAAAAATTATTGTCCTATGACAAGGCAGTGATTTTAGCGGGATCGCTGGAGGCAGCGGAGCGGGACGCGGCGCTCGTGGAGTCGGGCGCAGCGGTGACGTCATCGCAGGCCGCGGGTCAGCTGCGCGGCGATGGCGGCGGCGGGGCAAACGGGGGGCTGAACGCCATGCGCGTCGGCCAGCGAGCCCGCCATACCCGGTACAGCGCAGTGGCGGGAGGCGGTGGCGGCGGCGTCGGCGCAGGCCGCGCGCATGTGCGCGATTCGCTATGCGGAGCTTGCGGAGGTGTTGACCATGTTGCCAGCGAGTGCAAGTTCAGAACCTACATATGCAGCAAGTGTGGCGTGATGGGCCACCTACGACGCGTGTGTTTCACAAATAACCAGTCGGTGGCGCCGGGTTCCTACAACGGAAACGCGGCGAATGTACAGGGCTTTGGAAAGAAAAGCCGGAACAGCGGTCGCGGAGGACATAATCAGAGACCGAAAACAAATTATGTCAATGCAGACATTGGCGGCATTGAGTAAGTACCACGAGGCACCCGAGGAAGAACCGGTGATGCAAATGTCGCTGTCACAGTACAAGCCGGTAAGTTTGTGTTTATTAGTGAGTGGACATAACTTAAACATGGAAATAGACACTGGCTCGGCGTTGTCGTGTATTAGTAAAACCACGTATGAAGATACATTTAATCATTTACCATTATTACCATGTGATTTAGCACTAACCTTTTATGATGGAACAAAAATAAAGCCATTAGGTTGCCGTAAATGAATTGTTTTCCAGCTATGCTGAGTTGTTCGACGGCGGGCTGGGGCGCTTCACGGGTGGGCGGGCTCGGCTGGCGGTGCGCGCGGACGTTTGTTCCGGAAATCGAGAATTTCCGGAACAAACTTATTTACATTTCGCGTCAGAGGCCTTATTAATAGACAATAATAGTTTAAAGCGGGAAACCGCGAGGGACGCGATACTAGGGCGGGTCCTCGGTTATATACGGGACGGCTGGCCGCAAGATATCGAAATAAAAGATATCAAACCATACTTTCACAGACAGAAAGAGTTATACGAGGAACTGAGGTGCGTCATGTGGGGGTCACAGAGTAGTGGTACCTTCTAGTTGCAGGGAGAAAGTTCTCGCAGAGTTACATGAGGCTCACATGGGGATCACCAAGACGAAACAGTTCGCTCGCAGCTACGTGTGGTGGCCGGGGATCGACGAGGCGGTGGAGGCCGTGTGCCGCGCCTGCTCGGTGTGCGCGCGCGTGGCGGACGCGCCGGAGCGACACCAGCCGCGCCCGTGGCTGTGGCCAGAGCGCCCGTGGTCGCGACTGCATCTCGATTTTTAGGGCCGATAGGGGGCGCTACTTACTTAGTCACCGTGGATGCTCATTCTAAATAGGTCGAAGTCACTGCTATGAGTTCCATTTCGGCAAAAAATTTAATAAGCAAATTAAGGGAAATGTGGGCTAGATTCGGTCTGCCAAGACAGATAGTGAGTGACAACGGTCCGCCATTTACTAGTCAGGAATTTCAGTTATTTCTTAAGGATAACGGTAAAGAACACATATTTTCAGCACCCTATCACCCGGCTTCGAATGGCGCAGCTGAGAATGCGGTTAGAATGTGCAAGCGGGTTATAAAAAAGGCACTGGTACAGGGTGTGAATATCGATATCGCGCTTAATAGGTTTCTACTCGTATATCGTAACACCGAACACTGTACTACCGGTGTGAGCCCCACGAAATTATTACAAGGTCGTTCACTGCGCACACGCCTCGACTGTCTGAAGCCGGAGCTGGGGCCCCGCGTGCGGCGCGAGCAGGCGCGGCAGGCGCGCGCCGCGGGCGGCAGTCGCCGGCAGTTCGCGCCGGGAGACCGCGTATGGTACCGCGATTATCGTAACTCGGTTGTAAAATGGTTAAAAGGAGAAGTACACTCACTAAAACGGACTATAATATTCTAGGGGCTGATAAAATCTTTATTCATAGACATGTCGACCAGATAAGACCACGATCGGGGGAGCCGGATAGGGAAGGGGAAGACCGGGATGTTTCAGAAGGAGGAAGAGGTTCATTATCACGTTCCTATCTAGTGTATCCGAATGGCTCCTCTCCAGTGGTAGAGGAAGAGGCCAGTTCGAGTGGCAGAGAGGCCGCGGCCGGGTCCGCGCCCGCCGCGACGTCCCCGCGCCCCCCGCCCGCCCCGCAGCCGGCGCCCGCGGCTCCGAGCCCGGTGAGGGAGCGCCCCAACCCGCCTAGAACTCGTAGGGCCCCGCGACGTTATGGATTTGATTTTGATTAGTTGTAAGTTAGTTAAGTGATATGTGCTTTATTTTATATTAGTTTAAGTACGTTTAGAATAAGGGTGGAGGTGTAATGTAGGGTAAGCTTATTTTTAGCATAAGGAAGGTAGTTTGTGACCTCTCTCTCTCGTAATAAATGGTTGAACTGTACGGACGTGTTTTCCTTTGTCTCAACAAGCACACAGTCCAGGTGATGGTAAGCCGTGAGGACTAAGATGGAATGCCTCTTTTCCAACATGGCTCTACCACGCATAGCGATTCTGAGCCACCTGCATCCATCGACTTCCTGCATGTCTTACCAGGTCACTCCATCTAGTGGGAGGCCGCCCAGCACTTCGGCTACAGTTACGAGGTTGCCACACGACAGCCTTTCTTCGCCGTCGCTTGTCGGTTTTATCCGAGCTGTATGGCCGGCCCATTGCCACTTCTGCTTATTAATCCGTTTGGCTATATCGGTTACTCTGGTTCTACTGCGGATATCCTCATTTTTAAGTTTATCATGCAGAAAAACCCCCAGCATAGCCCTCTCCATAGTTTGAGTTTCCTCATACGGCTAGCAGTGAAGGATCACATCTCAAATCCATAAGTCATCACTGGCAACATGCACTCGTTGTACAACTTTTTTTAAGTTTTGAGGTACTTATACCCGACGAGAAGATCTGTCCTAATCTCCCGAAAGCTGCTGTGCCGAGTTGAATCCGTCGATTGAACTCTCGGTCATTTGGACTTACCTAGTCGGACCATTTGTCCCAGATAAACGTACCCGTTAACAGCTTCGAGCTTAGTGCGCCCAACAATTACCGACATGGACGTTACACGTGATCTTTGGTTTGTTCATGTTCATCTTAAGACCTATCCGTAGGGAGGCACTATTGAGATCATTGAGCATAGTGCTTAGGTCCTCCGGCGATTCTGCCATAACGACTATATCGTAAACAAATCGAAGGTCAGTGATATGCGTACTCGCCATTGATGTTAATTCCTTGTCCTTTCCAGTCTAGTAGCTTGAAAACCGTTTTCCAATGCAGCGGTGAAGAGTTTCGGGGATATAACGTCACCTTGTCTTACGCCTCTCTGCAGTTGGATAGGTTTCGTACTCTGGTTCTGTACTCATCCGAGTAGTAGGGCTACGATGGCTATCCAGCCATCGTAGCCCTACTACTCGTATATAAACACTTCAGCGCTTCGATTTACTAACAATAAACTTAGCACCGCTAAAGGGGCTGCTGCAGCGCCCAAAAGCTTTCTTATAGTCCACATTAGCAAGACAAAGTGGCAGGTTGTACTCTTTGGTCTTCTGTACAATTTGCCGAAGAGTATGTATGTGGTCTATGGTGCTAAAGCTTTTACGGAAACTATCTTATTAGGGAGGCTGGAAATCTGCGTGCGTGATGATTCGTAAAAGACGATTCGTAAAGACTCTCGAAAACAGCACGTAGATGCGGCTCAGAAGGGAAATCCGTATGTAGTTCTTCAAAAGAGCGTTGTCGCCTTTCTTGAAGAATAAGACCACCGCACTTCTGCACCACGCCTCCGGAGTAGTGCCACCATGAAGGACGGAATTGAAGAGCTTCTGAAAGACTTCAAGTACCTACTGGTTTTCGACCCGGTTTCAGAAGTGAATAGTGTGCAGTTTCGTGGTTACTTGGAAGGGAAGGCCAAATTGGCCTCTAAAAAGCTTGGCGTGCTCAGCAGACCGAGACAGTATTTCATGCCGGCACATCGCTTGGACCTTACCAAGCGCAAGTTCGGCCCCACATGGAATACTGTTCTCATCTCTGGGCCGGGGCACCCTAGTGCCAGCTCCTTCCACTTGACCGCATCCAGCGCAGAGCGGTTGGAATCGTCGATGACCAAGTTCTTTCTGATTGGTTCGATACACTGGCACTGCGTAGAGATGTTGCATCCCTTTGCGTATTTTATCGCATCTATCACGGGGAGTGCTCCGAGGAATTGTTCGGACTAATTCCAGCCGCTCAATTTCACCATCGCACATCGCGACAAAACTCGCGTTACCATCCATACCATCTGGACAATTGGCGGTCCACCACTGTGCGATTTAGAAGAAGTTTTCTCCCTCGCACAACCATTGTGGAATCAATTACCACCAGCGAATTTTCCGGACCGATACGACTTAGGAACCTTCAAGAAAAGAGCTTACACCTTTCTTGAAGGCCGGCAACGGATCTGCAATTCCCCTGATGTTGCGGTTGTTCATGGGCGGCGGTAGTCACTTACCATCAGGTGAGCCGCATGCTCGTTTGCCCCCTCTTCTTTAAAAAAAAAGCTCCGCTGTACTTCCATCTTCGCCCGGGGCCTTGCCATTTTAAGGTGCTGGAGAGCCAGGACGTCCGGGATATCATCGGAATAGAGTCCGATAAGACTTGCTCTTGGATCGTTACTCACCCTTGTGTGTGACTCCAACGATGACGTGTACAAGCGCTCCATCGAACCTCTCAATCTCACTCAAAATCTCAGGTGTCCGGGAAACGATGCTGCCACGTGCGGTCTTCAGCTTCGACAGTTGGCTCTTTCTAGTAGATCTCCAGCAAAGACTGTGGAGCCCTGATTCCGCTCGATCGCTTCATCAATACGAGCTGTAATGAAGTTGCGTATGTCCCGACGCATGTATTTGTGAAATATATGAAGCCAAGAGTTAAATATTTTTGTTCGATTTATATTAAAGACTACTTTTTTACCCGCGGCTTCGCTCGCGTGGTCTTCTTTTTTAGAAACATCATTAAATGTATTCCACGCCAAATTTAGTAAAGTTCGATCACTTTTATAGTCAAGTCGGTGTCTGTGTATCTATGTCAGTTTTACAAAGAATTTTTTGAATTCCCAAAGACTATTGGACCTAGATGATTGAGGGACACGTGCAGAAATAAGTTTTTCAGAATTGCATTAATATCATATGTCTAGAAATATCTACTTTTTTTATATTGGACCTGTCTTCCAATGTATCTGTCCATAACAAAGATAAATAGTCTTGGAATCCAAATTTGCTATTATTATTTACTCTTTACATTCATTCATAATTTATTTTTATCAAAATAATGATGAATTCTTGGTCTTATATGTGATATTTGATTCATATCATTGTTTCCATTTAATATTGATTGGCACCATAAAATAAATTCTGATTTTTTTCCTACGTTCAAGTAGACTTCAAAGTTTCATAAATGCAGTTCTGATAATGATGAATACTACACATATGATAAAACAAATTGTAATAAATCACGTTACATTTTAACTTCTATTTAAGCGGGTTGTACAAAACACATCTTTGGAAGAAAGTTCCATAAAAATTTGCGTAAAACAACATATTGCTGATGTGAAGCACCGACGCTCCGAGAAGTCTGAAAGTGTGTCAACAGTTGAGTATCGTCCCAACCATTATATCGGATCTGATAGACAACAAATAAAACCCCGCCCCCCTCTCCATGGGTTCTGTATATTGCCCGAAACGTCATCAATTATAAAAGTTAAAATTAAACACGCTAAAATTACCTTATAATACCTTATAATTACCTTATGATTACTTTTATTGCAAATGAAGTTCTGTTCGCAGTGAACGTAGGTAGAACTACACTCATGATCGAAAGCAGAAAAATATTCGCCTTGTTGTGGCGGCGAAAGAGAATCCGCCACCTCATATCGTTCCGTGTGTGTCCTAATAGGCGATAGAGGAAAACAAACAGGAGATGGGGAACATCATGTTCCTGACAACAGTTCAAAATAATAAATGCTACGGATTCCTTGTGCTGACCGCCGAAACTGTTACTTGAAAATGAGCTTCGTCGGAAAAGAAAATATTTTTCTAACTTCGGAAACGCTCGAACATTGTTTATACAAAAATACGACGTGAAATGTGGTTGTTTGCTTTCATTTCCTGCACTAACTGTATTTTATAGCGATATTATGTTCGTGATAGAGCGAGCTCGGCTGATCGCTTACGAGTTGATTGTCCGGGATTGCGTTGTATTGAAACTTCAGCTTCAACAACTGTTTTTTGTGTTCTTTGAGCGTCCCACAGTTTTTTGATTTACAGTGGAACCGGTGGATTTAAACTTTCTGACCCATGATCTAAATACACTCTCACTGGGAAGTTAATTTAAATCATATGATCTGAACTCTTTGTGAACAGTGCAAGAATCACTGTTTTGTAATAACTTTTAACGCAGAACGTACGTTGCGCGCTCGTGAAAGGCTCCATTGCGACTAAATTATAAATGACCGTGAACCGAGCTACACAACCGCACCCCTCGCGCGTAATTTCGTCTTTCGGGCCCATCACGTATTAAAGCCACTGCAGAGCCAATCTAGTAGTACTCGTATATATAGAAGTCTTTGGTTCGCGCGGGATAAAAATGGCATTGTAATGCAACGTTAACTGACAGTGGCATCTAGCTGCGCATTACGCACGATCTTTAAGTGCACTGTGTAGAGTGCGCGAAAATCAAACTAAAACAGTTAATAAATATTTTATTTTATGCTGTGGCAAGCGGGTGTACAATCGCAGTTTTCTACTACTTTGAGTAGTTTTGAAGGAGATGCTGGTTTCTGATGTATTCTCGTTAAAAAAAAAGAGCCGTGATAGCTCAACTTTACGGCTAATCCGGGTTCGATCCCCGCCGGCGGCAATGAAATTGTTAATTACA